ACCTCCAACTCCTGGGCTCAAGCAAGTCTCCTGCCTCAGCCTCCCAAGTAGCTGGGACCACAGGCGCCCGCCACAGTGCCTGGCTATTTTTTTGTTTGTTTGTTTTTGGTTGCAGCCATGATTGTTGTTTGGCAGGCCTGGGCTGGATTCGAACCCGCCACCTTAGGTGTATGTGGCTAGTGCCTTAGCCACTTGAGCCACAGGCGCCGAGCCAAGATTATTTTTTAATAATAGTCGTTATCTGCCTGTCACTCTCATTCTCCCATCTCTGGGATCTCCAAAGGCCACGCGGTACGTGATGTGACAACAGATTGAATGTGGGAGCATAGATGGGAATCTGGTTGTCTTCTATTTAGTCCTACATTGAAAGAGATTTGCAAAAATGTAAAATCATGCACATCTTCTGACTAAGTTTTCCTTTTGTTTTGGAAAATTTGGTTATTTTTTAAATAAGTGTTTATGTTAACACACAATGGTTATTGTTTCAAAAGGAATTAATAGATTTTTAAAATTCATATTTTAATTTCTATTTTGGCAATTATTGACAAATATAGCCTACATAAACAAAATCTCTTTGAGGACCACAACAATTTTTAAGGCTATCAAGTTTGAGACCAAAAAGTTTGAGAACTGCTATATTAGAGGGAAGTGCTATGTTTTCTGTAAGGGGAAACTGCATTCAACTAAATATAGAAGTAGACAGCTAAAAATGGGATAATTTTGGATAAAGAAATACGGTAAGTTAGTCTGATTTATACATTGACAAGATGAGTTGGAAGAACTATGGTCAAGTGGGAAGATCACTGGGCGAGATGTGGAAGCACCTGTTTGGTGTTCTGTTCTGGCTCCTTGATTCAACACAGGGGTTTTTGGGTAGATGCTTCAGTGTTTGAACTTCCATTTCTTCAAATGAAGGATGGGAGTGAATAATTTCTGTGCTTTTTCTTTCATTCATTTAACAAATATTTATTGATAATCATATCCACACAATTACACAGAATAGATTGTTTCAGGTTCTGTTCTAAGTAATTATGTATATAGTGAGAAGATCCTTGCCCCAAGGGCACAGCATTATAGAGGCAGAGACAAACATGTAAGTATGCAAATATAAATTGTTGTAAGTAGTGTGAAGGAGTCAAATAGTGAAATGAGAGGAAAATGCTCCAGGAAAAGCTCGTTCTGCAGATCTTCCCTGCTGGGGAAGGGAAGGCTTCCCAGGAAGGCACCTGTGCGTGCAGAGGCCCTGAGGTGTGACTGGAGTGTCTGGGCATGAGGGGTGGTAGAGCAAAATGAGGCTGGAGAGGTGGACAAGGTCTAGGTCGTGTAGGACCTAATTAGGCCCTGGAGAGAAGTCTGCTGTTAGGTGTCTGAAGGGCTGGAGGCATTCAAGGTGGAGAGATCTGTTTGGACTTATCTAGCTGGGCTAGGGTGTTGGTGACTGCAGCTCCCCAGGTCTGTGGAGGTCATTGTGCTGGAGAATGAGCACCGTTTCTCACACCTGTCCCTGGTTGATGTTGTAAAGAGTGATTTGAATTCACAGTTATTAAAATGCTTAATTCTTACTACTAATGGTTTGGTCAAAGGAGATAAATTCCTTTTGATTAGTTAACTAATTACATACATGATTTTTCTACTAATTGTATCTGTATTTCAGTGCTCTTCTTTTTAATGAAGTGAAATATGTTACCACCCCAGAAGACCTGCAGAATGTAGAAAATGCTCTGAAAGGAAAAGAAAATATTATATTCTCATATGTAAGAGCCATCGGAATACCAGGTATTTAATCTCCTTCCTTTTAGTATTTGCTGTGTCTACAAACTTATGTGTGTTGGAGCACTTAAAATAGGGTATTTTCTGATGACAGTCTTAATATTTAAAATAAATGTAAGCGTTTTTACTCCTGTGTTATCTGGGCTAAGTGGACAGCACAGTATAGTGGTTGGACAGGATCTCTGGAGCCAGACCTGCTGGTTTGACTCTCTGCCTGACCAGTTACTTATAGGGGACCAGGGACAAGTTACTTCACTTTGATTTCCTAGCTCCTAAGATGGGGAAAATCACTCTGCCTACTTCTTAGTACTATTGTGAAAATCAAATGCATTTGAATAATTAAAATGGTTCCAGGAGTACAGTGGGTGCTCTGAAAGTGTTAACCATTTCTGTTTTGATTTCCTTACAGTGCTTATGGTACCCGATATAGTAGTTTGTAGTATTTGACGAATGGTATTAGATTGGAAGGAATAAGGGAAGAGGAAGTTTAGGAACTTATTGCGGCATTAGTGCAGGCAAAAGATCATGGTGGATGGTGTGGACCAGCATGCTAGCAATGGGGGTGGTAATTATTATAAATTTGCATGTAGCAGGATTTCCTAGATAGAGCTAACTGAATTTGCTGACATGCTGGGTACAGATTGAGAAATATCAGAGAAGGTGGCTCTGGGGTTTGCATCTGAGCTACTTGGAAGGTGAAACTGCTGGTCACTTAGGTGGAGAAGATAGGGAATAGTTTGGAGAGGAAGTTCTGGAATCCACTTTTTGATATCCTACTTATAAATACCCATCAGACACACAAACAGAGATAATAACAAAGAAGTTGGATATTACTAAACTGCAGACTAGGGATGTAAATTTTCAGAAACAAAGCTGTGAGACCACGGTGAGGCGAGGTGGAAAGGAAAAGACTGACTCATTATGGACTTCAGCACTGAGAGACCAGAGAGGGCCGGGGATCCACTAAGGAAAGGCGGGACCCTAAGGAGAGACTGCGAACCATAGTGTTAAATGATGCCGAAAGGTTAATTAAGGTAAAAACTGCCAATTGACCGTTAGGTTTCACAGTGTGGAAGTTTTTGGTGACCTCTTGGCAAGCACCTTTCATAGGGGTAAATACTTGACAGCTGGGGGGTGGGGTGGGGGAGCGAGAGCAAGTGGACACTGTGAAGACAGGAGAAAAGTGGGCAGTCAGGAGAAAGGTTAGAAGAGCATGTGGGGCCAAGAGAAGACTTTTCTAAGGAGAAAGCTGCACTAGAAAGGGGGAGTGCATCCTGCAGACTGGAGCAAGGCCTTCGAGAGGCAAGAGGGGACGGAGTCTGGTGAGCAAGGGCAGGGACTCTTGGTGGGAGCCCAGAGGTTCCGCTGTAGTAACGGGAGGGATGAGAAAGGATATGGGCCTCTAGGGGTAAGTGGGCAGGCGGATACAGTGCTGGGAGCTTGTGGCAGTGCTTTTGGGCATCTAGGGGTAAGTGGGCAGA